GGCAAGGGAGGGGAAGGAGAAGGGAGTAGGCAAGCTGAAGGATCAGGCGACAGTGGTTGCGGAAGAACAGGGGTCAGCACATTTTTGTCCTCGTGCAATGGTCAGACGGCTCCTCCACAACAGCAGCTTTAACCGGATCGGTGCTGACCACGTTTTCACTGACACCGCGAATAATCCGGCGGGTCTTGGTACTGCGTTCGAGCACACGGAACGGCCCCTCGTATGGTGGTTCCAGCGGCTGGCCTACAAGGTCACACCGGACGAACACATGAGGGCGGCTGTCTTAGCCTTTTTTGACATAAGACTCGGCCGCTGGAGTTCGAGGTGGAAGCAAGGAAATCGAGTGCATAAACTGTCTCAGACAGTGCACAGAATTGTCAGGGGTCTTGTCGGCACCACGAGCGTTTGTCGATGGCGACAGGAGTAGCTCGGATCGCGTACGATTGTGACGCTGCCATCTGTAGACCGGTGCAGTTGAGGCATCAACCATGGGTATGCTGGCGTGGTCTCGTCAATGTGTGCCGGTGAGTTAGCACGTTGACATGAAACGGAAGAACGTTTCGGACACAATGCCTCCCAGTGATTGCTGAGTCAGACGATTTCATCAGTGAAATAGGCTCACTGTCGTCCAGACATAAAAAGTGGGATAGGGCGCAGTGTCAAAAGTGCGCAAGTTTATCGCTGTATGCACTGTAGCATGTGGAGTGTACGAAGGCAACTCACGAATGATGGTAAGGGGTGGAAGAATGTCTCGGACAAGAGAAAGACGTTTGGAGGGCAACACAGTTGGAACTCTGCTCTACGTAGTTTGGATGGGGTTTGACCTGGATTTGTATAACTTCGTTTTGTTGGTGTGTTTCATCTCGACTCTCGACAGGGTGTCAGCAAGTGCGTTTTCCTATCCGTGGACACGATGAGGGGCGCAGGAAAAGTAGCAGGGCGAAGTCAAGTGAGAACTTTGTGACGGTCGAGCTTTGTCGTGTGTAGTGGTTGCATTTCCACCATGTCGGCGTCACCAGTTGGTAGCAGTTAAGTGGTGATAGTGCATGCTCAGTGCGCCACAAATGCAGGCCATATTCCAAGTTGTGAGAAGGGGGATGCCAGTTGGGTGGAAGATTTTAATCTGAACATAATAATTGGGGAAAGCTGGCACCAGGGTGATGGGCTGTGGAACGAATGCGAGTGCAGCCCAAGAAGGAGAGAAGAGGTAGGAAGAGGTGGGATTCGAACTGAGCTCCAAGACCAGTCGTGATGATGGAGGGAGCACCGAAGATGGCAACGCAACGACTGAGGAAAGTCTTGACGATTGTGGAAGCAAAAAAATCAGGCAGAGGAATAGGAGTGAAATGATCGATACAAGTAAGAAGGTAGAAAAAACCGTGGGACAGTGGCGAGGGGCCTACAATGTCCAGGTGGACATGGCTGAATCTGGCGTCAGGAGTGGGAGACGTGCCCTGTGCCATCCTTGGTGCAGACTTTCTTGCCGCCTTTGATCTTCTGGTCGACTGTCATCAGTCACGTCTACAAGTTCAGACCACCAAGCTAACCGTCCGAGGTATCCTTTCGCCTGAAGTGTCCTGCCACCTTGCTGTCCTGGATCCTGAACCCGAGAATTCATTTCGGCAGCTTCTCGCCATGTACCCTGGACTTACCCGTCCAAACTTCAGCGCATCTGCTCCACTGCATGATGTTGTTCATCACATCCGAACCATTGGCCCTCCTGTGTTTTCTTGGCCCCGCCGTCTCGTACCTGCACGGTTTGCTGTCGCCAAGGCCGAGTGTGAGCACATGCATCCCTGTGCCGCGGTAATTGAGCTCACGCGTTTAATTATCGCGGCCAAGAGGCGAGACCCAAGTCCCAGCCAAGGGTGCACGCATTCACGCCGCAGTGAGACGGCGTGGATTCAGCCTTATCGCGAATACAATTGCCTCCGTTCCTATCACCCTTCTGTGGTTGACTACAAAACTGCTCATTTGACTCCGCATTCTCCCATTCTCTGATGATGGCCTTCTATACGAGACCGGGAGCTAAGACGGATACATAAGCTGTCCTAGTGATTGCGCGTTCATCTACTTTGCAATAAGAACCTGGGACTCGTATATTCTCTCCCATTCGTTGAATGATCAATGCTTCTTTTTATGAAGGACAAAACGTACATTCATAAGGCATCGAAACTGTTTTTTGAGGTTTCTATAGGCACTTCTAGGCAAAACTGATGGATAACTGTAGAATAGTCAGTTCATGTTTGGCTTTACTCCTCACGACTTACTGTACTACTGTCAACAGGCACAGTAAGGAAGTAATCTATTGCATCTTTACTTCGGACACGAATTTTTTGCATGCTTTACACAGTCAGCTCATGATTCTCCTTCCTCTGTACATTACCTGAAACGACGTACATTGTCTCTCACGTGTGTAGGTGAATGGTGACTATCCCGTGAACACAGTGTAATCCATCATTTACAAAGTTTTAACTTAGTGCTCATTCCTTGAAGCCGGTTTAGCTTCCCGACAGTGGAAATTACTTTTAGATCGTGGGATGAAGTGCTGCCGCATCTGTGCTTTTGCACACGCTCAAGAGATCCCATGAGTCCGGCACCAATATGAGTAAATTTTAGTCACAATAATCTGAGAATTTGATCTCTGTCTTTAACATCAATATGCACATGAGATTCCAAGAGCTTGCCGTTCACATTGGAGCGAGCCAGACAGAAAAAAATCCCTGACAACCATAATTACTCGCTACCTTTAGCCGTGCTTTTGTACCGTCTGTAGCCCTCGTGACTATTTCCTAAATCAGTAAGCAAAGACCTCTTTCTTTGAAACAACTTTCTTAACTCATCCCCCATTGTGGTCATAAATTATAACTGCATTCGCATTAAAAATGATGTCAGTTGTTCGGCTGATATGTATGCTTTAGCGGAAAATACCCTTACCGTGTACGCCAAAACTCGCGTAAAATGCACCCCAAGTTGTAAATAGGCTGTAAACTGCAAAGAATCTCATAGCGGAGCTTTCAATGCTGATTAGTATTGACCGCGCCAGCGTTCCACCATTTAGTTGGACACTGTTGCAGACAGTTGCGTGGACAATATTTGACGAGAGATCTTTAGTTAACTAACGCGAAGATACTAAATGATGTTCTATGCTCCTACTGGTTTAATTACATCCAATAGAAACAATGCGTGGAAAGTCCACTGCTTACACCTTCTTGGTGAGAAGCTGCCAAATATTTAGCTTGTTTCTGACTTCCGTTTGTTGAACATTACGGGACATTGGTGGCACTCTAACGCACGTGAGAAGTGTGTGTTACTTAATGGGTAGTGCCTTTCAGCCGCTGACTGACTTGGCATCCGACCTTTGAAGGGTGTTGGTCTAAGCAAATACAGGGCTGTGTGTCACTCTTCTGGGCCCAAAAGGTTTGTGGGCTTCTGCTATGCCATGATCAGCAAACAACAGCTCTCGCAGCCTGCTGGGCGTTGGCAGTTATCTGACACGTGGTCCTCTGTCGGTAGGTATGCTTGCGGGCTAGATCGCAGTTGGTAGTCAGGCCCCGCATTAAAGGTGGCTGGGGGGTTTGTTTTCTGGGGCTATTTTGTGGGGCTCCATAATCACATGTGACCCATTTGGGTTCCCTTTTACTGCTGAGGTTAGAATTAGGGTACAGGTAGGTATTTTCCGATTTTCGGGTTAGGGTTATGCATTTAGGCTTAAGTTTTCCGGTTACAGTTAGGGTTTGAGCGTACGATCATGTTTCAGTATTGCGGTTAGGTTTTTCAGTTACGCCTATGCCTAAGGGCTACAGTTACGTTTGAGATTTCGCCTAGAGTTCGGGTCAGGGTTGCCGTTAGGGTTAACGGTTAACATTTACTGTTGAGGTTAGGGTTAGGGTTAAGGTCAAGATTAGGGTTAAGTCGCCGTCCGCTTCCCATTCCTGGCTACCAACTGCGATCTAGCCATCATATTTTTATAAGAATGCTTTGGCGGCTGTAGTTGAATTCATCGAAGCATATAGCAGCAGTGGGGCAATTCCCAGGAATTATTTATTTTCCCCGAATGCAAAATGCGAACTAATTAGAACGATGTCTATTAAAACGCCAGCATATGGGGGTGTTTGAATTAAATGGGGACTGTTTTTCAGGTTGTTCGATAGTAAGAGCTAATTTTCGAGACAATTGGTTAAATTCTAGTTAGGAATAAAGGCCCATCTCTAATGCGTTTTGGCACACGTACGTCCATCAGTCTCACCTTCCACCATCTCAAAACTCGACTTCAGTACAGTTCTGGTTCCGATGCTCAGACCTCCATTTTCTCGACTTGTAACCTGTCCACCACCGCCGATAAATACCAGCTATCTCTTGGGAATAGCCGGTGTTTAAGAGCCACGATATTCCAGCTCACCTTCCGCATCCCTGTGAACTGAATCCGATTATAGGTAAAAGTGAAAAGCTTAAGAACACAACATGTAGACATGCAGTGGAGAATTTCGCAGAAATTTCCAGGAATGACATATCAGCAGACTGGCACACTGAAAACGTTTCCAGGCGCACCTAGGCCTTTCTTCCCTGCCGCTGATAGGCGCTACGTTCAGCCCCTAAACACTGTTTTCTCTAGGGTCGTGTATAGACCGCACATCGGTCTCTCGGTCCCTCGCTCCGTAATTCTCACAGGCTACAGCCCTGCGAAGCATGACACGACACCGTCAAGGTCAGACAGAGTCATGTGGCTCTGCCAGCCTGACACGAAGAGAGCAATTTGCAGGGCTTGGTTACAGTCCAATCAAGTGCCTCACGTACTCCCTGCTTTATGCCTAGGACTGGTTCGGTGCAGACTGAGCGGAAACTAGTATAACTCAGATGCGCCAACGAATAGAATCAATAAGAGCCTGCTAGTGCACAAAGCGTCAACTGCTCTGCATTAAACGCAGTCATAATCACGCGCGGTCACCTGAACACGCGCAAACACACACAGCTAAGGCAAATAAGTAACATCCGAGGGGATGCCTCACAGCCAGAATTCCGACTGTACAAACGAATGTCATACAGGCATTTACGGCGTAGAGACGCCTCCGCCCCGGAGTCCCATCGTCCTTTCGCTCAGCTTCATTTCCACAGCCCTGATCTTTATAGCCGTGCATGCATGCACTCTCGCGTATGTACAAAATGTCGGTAAGTTATGCGTAAAATGATTCATTCCCCAGATAGCAGGATCGAGTTTATTTTTTGATTTACATACTTTACACTTTGCTAGGTAACTATGTTAGAATGACATAAAGCCCCTTCAACTTCATCATGCGTCACGTAGCGTCTCGCCTCAATGGGGCTACTGACCAACTATCTTTGCAGTTCACACATTCAGCCCTAAGAACCGCAATTAGAGGTAGACTGGTAGAATAATTTGTTGGCAGCGTATCTACAGAAGTTCCTGACACGTGACTTACATCCCCAACAAAGGCTTGATGCTCTCCAGACAGAATAAACCCGTCAAGCCCATTGAGCTGCAGAAAGTCCAAGCTTTCACTGACGGAGAAATGGTGACCCTATGCCCTCACTCATTGCTGTCGCGTCTGCATTCTGAAATCCGGTGCGTGAGCTTAAAGTGATGTTGCATTAGAATGTCTGTGTCCCCGGCATTATCATTCTAAGTTATCTACACAAATCATGTTGACGTGAACACTTTTCTTGGCTTAGCACCGACGATTGTGAACTCGATGTACGGCCTCATCGGAACGAGTCTAGCGTTTAATATCCTCTTTCTCATTGTCGCGGTGATAGCTGCGCTTCGACGAAAAACAGTGCATTACTTCTTTGTGTCCAATGTCCTCTTTCTACTAATGTGTGAGTTGTTTCTTATAATTTAATCTTTATTCGAATTCCACTTGAAGTCATGCCAATACTTCCTTCTTTGTACTGTTACGACCGGGTATGTCGAGGAGGCAGTTTCGGCTTCTCCTGGATACCCAAAACTAATACGCTTAAGAATGCAGGACTACAGTAGAAGATACCGTTGGAACATAATCAGTCATAGAAAACGCAAACCCGCAGAAAGTTCTTCTGTTGTGTGTTTGCCAATCTTGCTGCCAGACGGACTATGTGGCCGGCAAATGCTTCTGGTTATGGCAACAGTATATGCACGGGCGTCAAACAACCCTCTTCCATCCCGCCTTAAACACCTCTGGTTGTTGAATTTGGACCGTCATAATGCGAATGGTGTTAGGAAAAAGTCAAGAAGATCGGGATCAAGCGCAAGAAAGCAGCCCGTTTGGGTGATGCACACACGGCCTGGTCCCCACTGAACGAACCAGGTTTGTACAAAATAGGCGAAGGCTTGGATCTAGCTCTTGTGAGTGTACCATAGAGGACGAGGCTTTAGCCAATAGACACGCTCACCTCGTGACAAATGGGCAATATTCGTTGACTTTAGTGTGCGTGTCGGCACGGATGACGCCGCCTGGGGGAGTGCTAGATCTTTGTAGAGTAAGCAACTGTCGACGGATGCTCTCTGTGAGGACACTGGACCAGTACTTCCTCGCTAGGAAGACTTGGAGGAAAAGGCGGTCTTCTGTCTGCTGGTGGAAAGCGCACAAAGTAAACAGTTGTCGAGATCCCCTGCACTATTCGCGTTATTGCGAATTATTAGCACCCTTTTTAGTCCACCCCAGTTCAGTTTCCTGACAGAAGCTAAGAGGCGAGTTCTGCGAAGTAGTCGCGAAGGAGAAGACACGATTGCTGGTACAAGTGCTTTATTAGCCTGTCGCTTCGGATTTTCACTCGATTCTACCATCAGAGACAAAGTCAGATAAGGGTGGCGGATTGCCCAGGTGTTCCAATATTTACAGGATGTAGTTAGACTACTCAATCGGGGAGGGACTCTTGGTACTGGATGCTGGAATGTGCGAACGTTCCTGGACCCCTGTACGCAAAGTCTGACTGCATGCAGCCTTAATCACTACAATGTGGGTGTCTGCTGTCTATCCGAAGTTCGACTTCCTGACTCGGGCTCTCGAGAAATAAAGATCCCTGGAGACGAATCACACTTCACCCTGTACCACAGCGGCCCACGCAACTCTTCTGGTAGGCACGGTGTGGCTATTGCCCTCTCGCAACAACCGGACCTCGCGTTACTTGCGTGGGAACCAGTCAATGATCGAAAGGGTCATTTCACGAACATCTCCATCCTCTCTGTATTCGCAGGAACTTCGACTGCCGAATAGCGCAATAAAGAGGCGTTAGTTGAACGACTCCCTCGCTGCGATCTGCTGATTGTTGCCGGGTATTGAAGTGGTCGGACTAGACCTGGCGACTCCACAAACAGTCATCCTCATGGCCGCTTTGGACTTGGTTCCAGATGTGAAAGTGGCGACAGATTGCTGAACTTCGCTGATCAGAACCGACTGCTTGTCACCTACATATGCTTCCAGTATCGCAACAAACATCTCCTGACCTGGTATTCAAATAACGATCATACGGCCAGTCAGATTGACTATCTACTAGTCAGTTCAAGATTGCGCAGTTGGGTTCTCGATAGCCGATCGATGCGTAGTGCTAAGACTGGTGACGCCCATAGGTCGGACCATGTCCTCGTCCGTACACGCTTGAAAGTTCACCTCTCATCCGCGCAAAAAATGTCATGTCCTAGGCGCCTCGATGTCGCAAATATCCGGCAAGGTAGCACTGTCTAGGCCCTGAGCAGAGAAATCCGGTCCTGTTTTACGACCCGAGCCGACGGCATTATTCCGTGGTCGTCACTGAAAACGTCAGTCTATGATGCAGCTGGGAAAATCCTTGGATACCGCAGTGACACCGCCGTGACTGGATCGGCGGAAGAACCCTAAAGTTGTCTGCTCAGGCAGCTGGAGCCAGGTCCCGTAATGATTATTCCTTCCGCAAACATCGGAAGATGATGGCAATATCGGCCAGGGATGACCGGAAGAAATATTGGCCTGAAATAGCGACTTCCATTAAACAGGCCTCAAATGTTAGTGACACTCGAAAATTCTACCAACTTATAAGCCAAGTTAGCGATAAGCTCTCAACACTGAGTGACTCTTTTCGCGAAGTCAATGGCGGCTTTATTGTTGACAACTCGGCCGAAGTCGAGCGCTGGCATGAGCACCTCGAGCACTATCTCAACTTTGAAACCCAACACACCTCGCCCTTGCTCTCCTTTGCAAAGGAGATTCTTCCCTCCCCAACCTCTGTAGTACCATGCGACCCCCCTTTTGAAGGAGGGATCGCCGATGCCATACGAAAACTACGCAACAATAAGGCACCCCTAGAGGACGGTATACTTGCTGAAATCTACAAATCTTGTGTCGAAACTCTGGCGCCCTGGCTCCATGAGGTGATTGAACAAGCGTGAAGAAAGAGGTTGCTCCTGATGACTGGGGCTTAGGCATCCTTGTACCCAACCTAAAGAAGGGAGATAAGACGATATTCGAGGACGACCGAGGCAAAAGCCTGCGAAGATCTTCGCTTTTGTCCTTCTCAGGCGATTCTAGTCTGTGCGTGACTCTAGGTCGAGGCCCAACCAAGCCCGATTCTGTGCAGGACGTGGATGCACGGACCGGATATTCACACTGAGTTCCATTCTCGAATTTCGCCATAACTACCAGCAACCGACGACCGTCCGCTTTGTTAACTCTGCTGCCGCGTTCGATTCCGTCCATCGTGAGTCCCTATAGCGGGTAATGGCGCTAGATTATGTAGCGCCAAGAATCATCGCCATTATCAAGGCCTATTATTGCTCCGCAGCAATCTTACCCAACCGTGCGGTATACGGTCTGGCGTGCTGCAGGGTTGTATCCTGTCGCCCATCCTGTTCAACGATGCTATTGACTGAATTCTCGGGAGAGCCCTACACGAGGGTGAGGGTGTTGAATTTGCACCCGAACAACGAATGACTGATCTCGACTATGCCGATGATATTGACTTACATGCTTCAAGTTTTGGTGATCTGTGGTCTATTGCGTCACGGGTGAACGAGGTCGCTAAATCGGTCGATTTATCCATAAACGCTGGGAAGACTAAAGTGTTTTCAAGCTGCATCCATGACCAGGAGGAGGCACCTCTCAAGATTGACGGCTGTTAAATTGAAGTAGACAGTTTTAAATACCTCGGGGCGAGGCTGCTGCCAAATGGCCAAATGACATTGTCTCACGAACTGATGCTGCCCGACGGCTCTTCTAAGCCTTAGTAAATGTCTATGGATCCGACGCGACCTCTCCATCGCCACTAAGATTCGCCTGTACCGTGCGTCTGTCCGATCTGTCCTTATATATGCTTGTGAATGCTGGGCTTGCGCGTGGAGAACGAGCGAAAACTGGAGGCATTTAACCACCACTGCTTGAGGACCATCCTTCGAGTGAAGTTCACCGACTTCGTTTCAAATAAGACAGTCCGCGCTCGCTGCGACAACATCACGAGGATAACTCAGGCCATCCAAGAAAGACGAATGAGGGGGTTTGGACATGTTCTTCTTCGTCCACCTCAGGAGCTCAGTGTTACTGCCCTTGATCCGACACCGTTAATCCACTGGAGGCGTCGAAGAGGGGGTCAACTCAAAACCTGGCTCGGCACAGTTCGTTAAGACTTAGAGGTGCTTCTAGGACCTCAGGTATTCGGTCTTCGTTGTTGGTGAAGAGAATGAGTTGCACCATCTAGATTTGCTGCCCGGGATCGTCGCACGTGGAAAGGTATAGTTTGGGATATCATCGAGGCCGGCTAGATCAGACATGATTGCAGCCGCACCCAGTACAAGTGAGCACCCAGGCACGAAGGCATTGTGAAAACTCATCATCGCATATTCAAGAAGGACCCAAGCTGCGTAGACCTGAATAAGATTTAAGGAAAGGACGCGTCCGCTCGATATTAGTCAAAAACGAAAAGAAAGTATTTTTTAGCAACCTTGGGGGGTTAGAGGAAACGACACATACCATGATCCGACAGTTGGACTGTACAAACAACGACGTACGCCAGGTTCGCCTCGGCGTGGCCGCACCGTCAGTGGCTTGCGCATGATTCAGTTTATGGTGAGGACTGACTTGCACAGAATCCACCACGCCCTCCGCGCTACCATTCGCCTTGCCCCGAGCGCAGGACACAGTCAAGACAACCGAGCTTTGGCCCTAACTCGGTGGCTGACAACAACAGACAACCTGTGCAAGCGTGCATCACATCCGACTGAATCCCCACAGAATGTACCAGGCTTCTAGCCAAGCAGCTTAAATTTAAAAATATCTTCCAACCAAAAGACCGCTCCTGTTGTAAATCCCTGTGGAGACGTGTAAATGGAATTTCCGACTGTAACTTCTCTGGGAAGATATTAGATTTCTCATGTTGCTTCCCTTATAGGTCTCTTTGACCTCGTTACCGCGATTGTCTACATCGTCGAGGCCTGCGACCAAAAAGACCTTATTGTCAGTTGGCCAGCATGTGCTCCTGCGATGAGCATTATTCTCCTTCCTCTGATTGCCGAGGTCGTAATGTTTGAAGCGAGATGAGGAAGGCTTTTTTAGAGGTCTTGTCATTTATTTTTCCCATTTCCTATTACCATGATATATTTCTGCGGCCGATACTTGACCCATTGTGATATAATTTCAATAAATATATTTTCCAGACCGCTTAAGCATTGCTGCGTACATACCGTCAGAACGGTTCGGAAACTAATCTCGATCGGAGTGCACAACGCTTGTAGTTCCGAATTATGGCATATAAACTAACTCCTAGGGTCCCATCGACTGCTCGTAGAAACTGGCGGCTGTGCACTTTGACGTTTCAAGTCTCCCCCAGTTTCTCTGCATGCAGTTCAGTAAGACCCAAGCATAAATGGAACCCGATACTTTCATCGGCGATTACTCAATCAACCAAGGAAGTACAGTGCGTGACCGATCTCATGAAATGTTGGCCGAAATTCTGAAGTGCGTTTTCCATTAGGTAGGACTACTTAGGTAGGATTCTAATATAGATTATCTTGCGGCATAATCCTTTAGTACTTTGGGCTCGCCAGGATGTCGGCTTTTGAATGTATTTCTTTTTTGCCTCCTGTAGAAAGCACACTTTTTTAAAAATGACTACATACATATCATGCATTTTTCCTATTGATTTTCGATTGTCTTATAAATTCAAATATATTTCATGGAAAACATGCACAAAATATGCCTTCTTTTACTCCTTTGGTAGAAAATCACATTGTTTTGATATTTTATACCCGAATAAAGTGTATATTTGGGTATTAAAAACGCTTTACAATTCCCGAAAAATTTTGAGCCTGATGGGCAATTGCATTAGCGTTTGGCAATTTTAGTCTACAAGCTGCATGCTTTCCGAGTAAGGAGAATCATATATTCCTCCATACCTTTAAGAGGATACCACATAAGGTTCCTAAAATTTCGCAATGCCTTCATTGGGAGCATTGGTAAACGGAAATTTGCGGTCCTGTATTCATGGACATCGCACGGTCTTAAAAATCTCATAATGAGGAACTTTTTTAAAACCCAAATAAACACTTTTTTCGGGTATAAAGTATCAAGCAATGTGATTTTCTACCAAAGGAGTAAAAAAAGCATATTTTATGCATGTTTGCTATAAAATATATTTGAATTTTATAAGCCCATCGAAAATAATAGGAAAAATGCATGCTACATAAATAGTTATTTTTTGCAAAGTGCGGTCAAAAAGGAGTGCATCCAAAAGCCAACATCCTGGTGAGTCGGAAATGCTATAGGCTTATGCTGCATACTAATTATTGTTGCAACCCCACTTAAGTACTCCTTCCTAATCGAAGACGCATTTTAGAATGTCGATCAAGATTTCATGAGATCGGTCACGCACTGTAGGTATACAGAAGAAAGAAGGTGGTCTACTGTAACTGTCCCAGTTGGGTGTATACGCCCGCGAGATAGACTGCAGGAATTCCTCAAGGTTTATGCGAAAGTTTCAAACAGGACTATTTTACACTGCAATCGTCATGAGCATCGGCTGTTGCTGGGAGCTAGGAAAGTCTACCAAGGCACGCTTACAAAGACCTGAATAAGATCAAAGTCGCATAGAGCGAGATCGACTTAAGCTGCCAAGCTCTACTAGATACCTTTTCTGAGGACGTCTAGCCGAGAAGATTAAAGTCGGGTGTAAGTGCACAGGATCATCAGAAGGAGGGCTTTACTGAAGAGGGAAGCAGAGTTGCAGGCAACTCGAGGGCGCGCATGTCTTCCGCTCTTAACACACAGGTCGACTTAGGAAACAGATGATCACTGCTTTCTGGGGACTGTGTTTACTAATCTTATGGCTGAACTGAGAAGGAATCTAAGAGGTGAGACCAAAAAGTCCCTGACGTAAAAATCGAGTGCATTAACTAGACCAAAACTGACCGATCCCTTGACGTCTATCCGTAATTATGCGGGCATTTAAACTCAAGCGCAGTATACTTAAATTAAGAAGTTGGTCAATCTTCCGGCAAAGAAGACAGATATTACCGCTCTCTATATCTAACTAAACCAAAAGTCATGTTTCCCCATGAGAGTAATTGGGATTCTGCTCCCGGGTATGTCGAGTGGGATATTGTTTCGGAAGAATAAGCGGCAACGGTATAGAGAAGGACGCCATTTAACTGTCAGTAAATTGCGGATCATGCTATGCGTTATTTATGGTAAGGGGAGTTTTATGGGTAGAGCAGCACGCTAGAACACAGAAATTACCTGGATTTATGTCGAAAGCCTTATCCTACGCTATTATACGACAACGAACAACAAACAACAAACAACGTGTAAATTTCACAAAATAACGGATTTTGAATTAAGATGTGAAGCCGTGGGAAGCAGTCGCTGTTGACAGTGCAATTTCTGCAAAGCCTGCAAATGTATGCTAAGATAAAACACCATATGACACGATCCACAGTGTATTGACAGTTAAGTGGAGTCCTTCTCTATACCGTCGACGATTAAGCAAATTAAAAAGAATAAGCAGTTCAGTCGCTAGTCTGATTTCGGAGACCTCTTCTGGCGTCCATTCTTCGAAGGCAAAAATTGCCACATTTGTCGTTTATTATTTCAAGTCTATGGAGCCATCACATCACATGACTGGGAGGAAATGTATAAGGCCTGGTTTGCAAGCCGAAAGTATGCCCGAAGGCTGACTGACAGAACTTCTGAATGCTAGGAATCCTACAGTTCAGTCGGCATCGGGCAACGGCCCTTGGTGATTATCTGCCCTAGTACCCATCGCGTGGTAATCGGTTTCGTTCGGACTCGAGAAGGTGAACCACCAGTCCGACAGGTGGCCTAGTGGTAAATTCTGGGGGGTTCCCATTCCCGTTTCCTGTAATACGGGGCTACATATTACCTCTCGTTTGGGTAATGGAGACAAATAACATGTTCCCATTGGTGCTTTTGACTCCTCGAAGCTATGCTTGCATCTTAAAGAAATGCCGTTCAAATTCATCATTCTTGAACTGATAACAGACGGCCTTGTTGAGGTGTTAGGTAATTCTTAATGCTCAAACGGAGGGGATAAGGCAGATGAACAAATCCAAACTAAAACTAAAGACTTACCGAGGCACCGAGTTTTTCACAGTTGGGTCAAAGTGAATTATTTGAAATCTGTCATAACAACTATGAATTACATGAGCCTGGTATTCATATGGTGGATTCTAAATATATTACGTAGGAAATCCTGTTGGGCTTTTATCCTACTGTTTTATGTCTGGTGAATTCCAGAGGTTGCATTAGGTTGGGCGGGTAACTTGACCCAAATATGATTGAACTCGAGTCAGCCGGCGGGGGCTCTTAGCTCAGATGGTTAGAGCGTTGACTGTACTAAAGCCCCCCCTTACTGTCGTGGGATCGAATCCCACCGATGCGCCGAGTTTTCCACAGTTAGTTCAAAGTGAATTATTAAAAACATAAGGGTTAAATGCGCTCGTCAAAGTTACCTACTTCAAAAGCTGTGGCAAGGCAGATTTAGTAGTAAGCGCTGTAATGCGATTCCTTAAGGTCACTTTAAATGCCATCGGTTTCTAGGTCGATGTGATGAATAAAAAATATTGAAGTAAACACATCACCGTTACTCTCAATAATGAACTTATTCAGTCAGCTGCACTAGCAGAAGTTCAAGTAAATTGGCTCCCGACCTCTAGGCGTTTATGCATGTCCTTTCGCAATTTATTCTAACCTTTTTTCCTCCTATGCATGGTGAGGCGGCGACATAGAATAATGTTAATAATAACCGCCAACACCAATGAACCCCTGATTTAACCTCTTCACTAGTTCCTATAGGAAAGAATACTTAGGCGAGATAGCAAAGCTGAATAGCTTGAACCACAAAACTATGATCATGACAACGGGCGTGGCCTTGAATAAGCATCCATCTAGTCATGGACATGATGTAGGTTCGGAAATGGATAACTATTCAATTAGTTCGAGTCCCGCCTTAATTCGATCCCATGACTGGTAATAGATGAGCTAACGACTGTTTTCTTAGAGATATTGTACAGAAAACCACGCTTTTCGCGTTTGTAGTTTAGAGTGGAGATCGCTTTTGCTTGAAATTACTCACAATACTAATAATTTTTGAGATTATTCGTGTAGTCGGATTCCCGCGCCCTTGTAATTGCCGCATAACCAGTGTGCACCCTAGTTTATGTATGACATTGCGATATTTTATGGGCACCAAGAGATTCCTTCACAGAAACACGAAGGTTTGCATTAATTTATCTCAGACAAAGTATACGAAATGCAGTTCTGAAACCTAAGAAGGGAATGAAAACGCAGATTGTGTTTTATAATACACGATTTTCGGTCAAAACTATTTATAACTCACACTCATAACTTCAGGCACTGTGTTTTAAGGAAACAGATCTCCGTATAAAGTGATTGTAAGAAATGAATACCTGTGTAAGATTTTAGGAAACATGACTTCATATTTGGATGCATCGAAAGCCGATGAGAAATCCACCTGTTGCGCGGATAGTTTTCGGATAGGTGCAAATATAAGCTTATTTAAAAAGCAAACAACTTCAAACAAATTCACGTGAGGCGATGGCCCCGTTCTAATTATTTTTGTAGCCTCGCATAAGTAGACTCTTCAGGTAAAAGCGTGCTTTAAAACTGCGTCAACATTGAGTTTAAGGGAATATCACACTATTTTAGAGTTACGGAAATTCCCTTAGCAGTAATCAGAAGACGAGGTGACGAGCATATTTTGCCTTCGAGAAATTTTCCTCAGACCAGTACAATTATATGGGAACGTGTTAGAAGCAAAAACATGTAAGTGACGATGCAAGTGAACTCGTATGGAGACGTTTTGATCAAGCTGTCTTGCAAGCCTTCCCAGGAGCAAGGGTTCGAATATCATTTTCTCCCAACCCTATTTTACGCGGAGAAGGCAAGAATAAGCTGCCACCTCAGAATACCTCAGTGGGCATCAATTCTTTCACTTGCTCCTGTGGAGCCTATCCAAGTGAATACGAAAACACCTCCCGGCATGGCTGGGAAAAGGCGAAACTAGT